CTGAGCTGCTCAGAGGTTAAACTTCAAAGAGCAGCTTAAGCTGGGGCATGGTGGCACATACCTGTAATCCTAGTACCTAGGAGGCTGATGTGGAGGATCATTGCAGGTTCAAGTCCAGCTTGTACTATGTAGTAATTCCAGGCCAACCCAGGCTACACAGTGAGACCTGGTTGTCTCGGGGGGGGGGGGGGGGGCAGGGGAATAACTTAGACTCTCTTAATCAACTGCCCTTCTGAGGTGGAAGGGGAAAATGATGAGACAAAGGGAGCTAGAAAAAAAGACCAGCTCTTCAACAAGATGGGTATGGCATAAGTGAGCATATTATCTGGCTCTATATTTTACAAACCAGTAAGATTGTAAAACATTATGTAAACCTTTTCCCTTCAGGAATGTGGTGTGATATATGTGTATATTGACACATGTGTGTGGGTGACCATGTATGTGGAGGTTGATGTTGGGAATCACTCTTGACTGCTCTTTTACCTTATTCGTTGAGGTAACGTCTCGCAAACAAACCCAGAACTTGTCAATAGGCTAGTCTTGCTAATCAGTTTGTTCTGGGGATCACCTGCTCTCCTTTGGCTGAAATTATAGTTTGGCCACCATAGCTACCCAGCATTCACAATGGTTCTGGGGATCTGAACTCTGGTCCTCATAATTGCTGGCAAGTGCTTTAACCACAATTATAACTCCCCAAGGGAGTGACAATATGTACTTCTCTGTATGTCAATGGCTAGCACAGGACCTGGTACAGAGAAGGCACTTAACTTGGCATAATCTGCTGAATGTGGCTGGTGACTGATGTTTATGGAAAAAGACAGGGAGCCTTAAAGACTGTCACCTGAAAAAACAGGTCTCTTGGTGACATGACTTGGTGACTCCGAGACTTTGCTGTTAGTCTTTGGGCACTGCATCCCAGCTGTTCATCCTTGCCTCTCACCACTTGCCCAAATGTTTGGCCAGCTGCTTTATCTACCACACCTTGTACTCTGGAGCCTCTCTCCAAATCTCCTTGGCCTTGGTCTAAAAATGTTACTTCATTCTTTGGGACCTTACGGTTCCTTTGTGACATGAGGACAATGGCCTGCCTTACAGTGCCAAGGAAACCAAGCAGTTCATGGGTGGCTGGTGCATTTGGAATGTGGGACCCCAGAATGCAGGAGTCATGAGTCAAATGGATATCACTGGTCATAAGGACAGCAGAGGCTTGGTACCTTCTCACTCTTCCTGCTAGGTCAGGTGTTCAGACAACTTCAAAGAGCCTTCCCTAACCTGGCTCATGGGGTGAACTAGTGTCTCTCCTGCCACACCTTGTCTCAAACATTTGTCATACTGAATTATAAGGATGGATTAGCAGACTATTAGGCTACTGAAGAGTGGGGGTGTGTCTCAGCCATCTCTTTTCTTCTACTGCATGCTTAGCACACAAGAGACCTCCATGATCAGAGCAATGCAAGCCCAGTGGGACTAAGGTTGCTTGTTCCTCTTACTCTGGCTTCCCAGCTTTCTAAGGGGTCTTGCTGTCAAATACTCCCTGATGGTTCCAAAGGTCTCAGCAGCAGCAGCAACTCGCCCTGGTCTTAATTGCTAACATGGTACAAGCCAGGGTTTCTAAAAGGCTGGGAGTTCAGTAGACAAAGAAAATCACTAACCACATTAAAATAATCAGATCTCTCAAGGTGGAAAAAACAACAACAGAAAACCCCACTCAAAAAGCAAACACAGCTGGATCTTTGAATATTGGGTACCAGCATAGCTTGGGAAGGCTATCCTGCCATTTTCAGAGTCTCACAAAGTAGCTACTTAAACCTAACTCCTCAAAGACTTTTTCCTCAGGACTAAGGACCACCTCCATACTGACCCATGTCCTCATTGGTTTCCACACCTGGACTTTCCTCCCCAAGCCAAAATTGTGTTTTCAATGCATCCCCTAATTAGGATCCTTCTCTTTCCCTGAAGATCAGGTATGGAACAGAAGAGTTCCTTGCATGGCCAAGTCACAGCAGCTCCTTGTTCCTATCTATCTTTTGGAAACAAAAATAATAGCAGCTTATAAGATTATTCTGAGGATTAAATGAAATAAAACCCCAAATCCCTGGCATCCAGGTGGATTGATTGCCTTCCCTCCAAGGCCATGGGATCTCAGCAGTCTAACCCAGCCTCAAGGCAACCAGACACTCCCTGGAAACAAGGGAAACTCCCTCCCTCAGGGTGAACGGGGAAGAGGATCTCATCTGATTGCCAAGGAAATATGCTCACCAGCTGGATGAGCAAGAGGCAGGGCCAGGCAGTGGTCAGGAAGTGCTGTATCTCCAGTACACCATAGAGATCTTGGCCTTTCTATAACTACACAAGTGACCTTTAGGCAAACTTTTTTTGCTCTGTGCCTCAGTTTCCTTTCTTGTAAAAGAGGGTGCTGTACATACCAAGTTTCAACCCCTATCAAGCTTCACAGACTACTCAAACTTCTTTGCAAAAGTAACCTCTCACTTCCGGCTCAGTAGTCTCTCAGAGACTGCCCATCTGAGTTATTTCTTACTCTCCCCCTCCAAGCCTTGCACCCACCTCCCACAGGAAGCTTCCAAGTACAGCCTCAAACTCCTTTTTTTTCTTCTAGCACAGCCTGGGTATTTAAGCAAATGCTGAAAGGGCAAAGTCTACACCTTGGATCTTTATGGCTAGTGCCTGGCACATAGCAGATGTCCTGGAAATAAGCACCAGGTCAGCCTGCAACCACAAAAGATTCTGCTGAGAATATTTATCCCAAGAGTAAAGGAAATCCCACAGTACTTGACAGACCTGTCACAGAAGTTGCAGTGGAACAGGGTGGGCCTCATCTCTGCTTTCTTTTAACAGGGTACATGATGAATACCATAACTTATCACCATACTAGATCCATTCAAGCCCCTTGCAGCAGCCCACCACACCATGACAAAGGACAGCAGGGAGGCACATTGGTTCAGAGCAAGGGCTTCGATGTATGGATTCTAGCTCAGCCACTTACAAAGTTAGGTAAGTAAATTAACTGTCCTGCATCTTGATTTCTTTTTCTCTAAAGATAGAGAAAACAACTGTCTCACCTAGAGGGCCATGAAAAACAAGGGGCCAGAGTGTGAGATGGCTTAGGAAGAAAAGGCATCTGCTGCCACATCTGACAACCTATTCTTTCTCTGTGCCTCAGTTTCCTTACCGTAAAAGAAGGTACTGTACACAATCCTACTGAGCCTCAGAGTCCTCAGTTCCCAACACTCAAACTTCTTCACATTTGGAGCAAAAGAAACCTCTCACTTCCTGCTCAGTAGTCTGTCCATCCCAGGCTTTTTTCTCTCTGCCATTCCAAACCTACAACTAACCTCCCACAGAGAGGAAGGAGAGACAAATTCCTGCAAGTTATTCTCTGACCTACACACACATAATAAGTGTAATTTTTTTTAAGCAAATAAGGAAGTCACTAACAGAGTGGGTGCCAGGTCATAAGCACTAAGTAAATCAAAGTTTAGTGAATATTACAGAATATGACATCATGAGTCCTGACCCTTGACCCCTAGCTACAGTCTGCTGCCCAGTACTGCCACCTACTTTCTTCTCTCTCTCTCTCTCTCTGTAGCCAACTTTGCCTTTTTCTTTAGCTGAGTGTAGTATACAAAGAAAGCCTAGTTAGACAAGAAACAATTATTTTAGAAGGAAGGTGAACGTATGGGCAGTGAAGAGTTAATTGCTTCTCCTCTAGAAACAGTCTAGGTCATACCTCCTAGAAAGAAAAGCCTCTCACTGTCCTATTTGACCTTTAGGAAAAGAGATGCCTCTAATTCCACTTATGAAGTTGAATCGAACAGTGAACCCAAGCCTCTGGACAGTGAGGCTGTTGGTGTGGCTTAATAAATCTCATGAGAAGACTGACTAGACAGCTCAGAGGTGGAAGGGCTTGCCATCAAGCCTGGCTTTCTGAATCCAACTTCTAGAACCCATGTGGTAGAAGGAGAGAACCAACTCCCCCATGTGCCAGGACATCCCTCTGTGCCAAGATAATGCAAACACAATAAACACGTGACAAAAGTACATCACCTCTTAGTGTTTGGCAAGTAAAAAATATAGGCTGTCCCATTAAATCTGAATTCAGGTAAACAAAAAGTCACTTTCAGCATCAACGTATCCCATGCAGTATTAGGATAAACTGATACTATAGAACTAATTGAAGTTCAGATTTAATGCAATAGCCCACATTTTATCTGGAAATCACCTAAGTACCCAAGGGCACAGAGGAAAAGACTAGTCTTTCACCTACCCCACAGCCAGCTGTCCAACTGGAATGTTAACCAGGCTCCTTGGAAACATCTTTTAACATCCAGGCGGAGCAGATGGGCTAAATGGGAGCCTCCTCCTGAGTGGCTGAGTCCAATGTCTGTCTTGTCAGAGCACCCAGCACTGGGCAAGCCACAGCTAGAGCTTAAAATAGCTTCCTTCATCCATTGGATCCTGCCTGGGCTCTGGTACCAAGCCCAGGAAAGGATGTGAATGTGAGAATTGGGTCGTTGTGGGGAGAGGGGCTCACAAGAAAAGTTCACCTGGCATGGAGAGTAAGAGACATTCCCCACCAACCACCCACTTTGTGAGGTTGTGAAGATCAAATAGGGAAATGGCCAAGGATACACCTTGTAAATAAATCCCTGGGCACAGGTCATGACCAAGCCCTTTGAGAGACCAGTTTAACACAGCGACTTGCAACCTCCACACTGCCCAGGAAAGATGTGACTGAGGTGTACGAACACAATGCCGATGCCTCCAGACAAAGTTTAAGGATGACTAACATCCATTCAGTGCTTTGTGATTTGCAACAAACGTTCATATTCATCTTTCAAAGGTCTTTCACCACAGGTGAGGGTGAGCTGGGGACCATTCCCCAGAAGATGGTGAGAGTGGCTGGGGAAGTGAGACCAGGTGAGGGTAGGGGGTGGGGAGTGGGAGGGTTCCACTGGTGCAGGATTAGGGTCAAGGCCTACCTTCTGGGCTTGCTGGATCATCTGCCTGACCACCTGTTTCAGGTGCGGTGCCTTCTCTTCTTTGGGCGGGTGGGTGAAGAGTGTGACACGGCTTACACCGCGGTAGAAGCCAGACTCGGTCCACCCCAGGTCCAGCGGGGGCACTTCTGTGTCTGAACGTTCTGGCCAGTAGGCCAGGGACTCACCGGGCTCGGCTGGGGCCTTGGCCTTGGCCTTGCCACCAGCATTGGAGACGGCCTCCTCATAGGGGCTCCAGGCAGCGCGCAGGGCCTGACGCTCCTGGCTGGAGAGGAAGTCCCGCAGTCGCTCCTTCTTGACCCGCTCGTGGTAGGCCTGCTCGCCTCCACCCAGCAGCGTTTCCAGCGCGGCCCGCCGCCGCTCACAGTAGTAGAAGGCGGCCTGCGCCTCGGTCACCCTCTCATTCACGTGCGCCTCGTCTAAGCAGCTCAGCTGGGACTCTGCCATGGTGCCCTAGCCCAGTCCCGGGACCCCGGGCTTGGACCCTGCCGTCCCTACCGCTGCACCTGGAGCGGTCGAGGGGCGGGGCGCCTCACCTGGCTGCGAGGTCCGCCTCGGCCCGCCCAACGATCGCTAGCCGGCCAATCGGTGCGGGCCCCGGTGCGGGCGCGGCCGTCTGGCGGAGAGGGCCTGAAGCCTCTGCAAGGTTTGCGGGGACCTCGGAGCAGCCCCGCCGACGCCGTGCGATGACTCTGGCCTGCCTAGCCCGGCTGGGGCACGGAGCCCCGGAGTGGAAGTGAACTTGGAGCCGGGCTGTAGTCAGAGCCACGTGGGGCCTTTGAGCTGCGCCCGCCTCCCAGCTGCGACCCATAGGTGCAGGAAAGGTCGGCGACTTGACCCTTTACGCTATCCAGCACTCTCCGAATTCCGCCCCGCGGGTCCAGGCTCATTTTCCCCGCAGGCAGGGCCCAGAGCACATGTTCTGGCCCTGATGCCTGCGGGGTTTAGCAATCTTAACCCTTTGGCCTTCAGGGTCCGAGTGCATATGCTATTGAGCGAGACTGTGTCGACTGTGTAAGGGGGGGGGGGGCAGTTGGTGTGGGAAAGTAAAGATGCTAATGAAATCCCTAGTTCTCCCGCCCACGTGTCCCAGTTCTGAGACCAGAGGCCTCCAGGGGCTGTCAGTTCAACACTGTCACTACGAAATTTTTCTTCTAAAAGAACCACCCAAACAGAAACGATGTAAGAAGGCAGCAGTGAATTTACCCCTCATTTTAATTGAAGTGTGTGAATGTTTGGGCCCTGATAGGCTGCCAGAGGCCTGATTACTATATTAGCGATTCAAAATCTATGTTTGAGCTCAAGGAAGAAAACTAAGCACAGACAAGTGTGTGCACACCACCACCACAGGCTCTGCTGTTTCCCATTGGATTAAATGCAATCTTCTTAGTCATTAACATATTATTTTGTTCATGTGCTGCAGTACAATTTTGATTCTCCACATTCAAAATATTTTCAGATCATAGCAACCAAAGGTTCACATTTCTCTCATTTTGTAGCACAGCGTCTCAGAGCTGGAAGGAGCTTTAGAAATGAGTCCAACCCCCTCATTTCACAATCGAGGAAATTGAGGCCTAGAAATAAATGCTTTTCTATATCTCCCGAGAAAAGGGAGGGTAAGCAGGGGGAACGGCTAGGTTCTCTGCAGTCTAGGAGGCTCTTCCCCTACACGTGGTCTCTTGCTTTTTGTTCTTGTGAAGGGACACGAGTTATTGAGGACCTGGCTTTAACCTGGGGTGTGTGTGAAGGGGTCAACACCGCTTCTAGGGCTCTGTTGCTCTCCATCTGGCTCTGTCTCTGACTCAGTCTCTGTCTCTCTCTTGCCCTCACTTCCTCTTCTGTGCTTGGGATAAAACTCAGGGCTTTGGCAAGCTAGCCAAGTGCTCTTTCACTGAGCTACACTCCACTGACAGTCTGGATTAAAAAAAAAAAAAAATGAGTTTTTAGATTGTCTGCAAGGGCTGGAGAGATGGTTAAGAGCACTGACTGCTCTTCCAGAGGACCTGGGTTTAATTTCCAGCACTTACATGGTGCTCACAACTGTCAGTAACTCCAGTTCCAGGGTATCTGACACCCTCTTCTGCAGGCACCAGGTATGCATGCAGTGTACAGGCATAAATGAAGGCAAAACACCTATGCATGTAAAATATTTTTTAATTAAAAATAGATTGCAGAGTTTATGACAATTGTAACAGGTCAGCCCAAAGATCAGGGATGTGAGCAGCAAAGATGGCTGCACCTCCCCTGTTCTTCTCTACTCTTGAGAATCAGAAGGCCTTACTCCTCGTAACACCCCACTCTAAAAGTACTATAGGCATAGTCTACTTGTAGCTTGGACAGCATTTGCTTGATTTGGAGGCTCATTGAGATGCCAGACCCTCTACCTAGGGAATATGGAGGAACTTGAACAGTGGAAAGGGAGGAAAAAACAGCCAAGGTCAATACAGTTGGATGAGGCCAATATGAGTATGCCAAATGTGTTTTAATAAACACAGTCAATCCAGGTATGGTGCCATATACCTGTCACCCCAGCACCAGAGAAGTTAAGGTAGAGGGTGCTGAGTTAGCAGTCAGCCTGAGCAATGTATTAAGACCCTGTTTCAAGAAGCAATCCACAAACACAATAAAAAACAGGCATGTGTGTAAAGAAGAAACTGATTCAATAAACATTTACTCAGTGCTTGCTATGCATCTGGATCCCCTGGAATCCAGTTGTGAGCTGCCACGTGGGTTCTGGGAATTGAACCCCAGTCCTCTGGAAAGGCAGCCAGTGATCTTAAACACTGAGCCATCTCTCTCCAGCCCCTCACTTTTTTTTTTTTTTCTTTTGAGACAGAGTCTGAGATAAACCAGGGCCTCAAATGCATTGTAAGTAGATTCCTGATCCTCCTGCCTGCACCTCCCAAATTCTTGGATTATAGGCATATGTCACATTCCAAGCTCAGTGTATATTTCCTAAGAGAATGAACTAGGGATCTGGGCATGGTGGCTCATGTCTGTGTCCTCAGCACTTGGGAGACTGAGGCAGGAAGATTGCTACGAATTGAAGGCAAATCTTGGACTTCCGTGATTGTTTGAATGGGAATTATCCCCTATATATGTGTATTCAAACACTTGGCCCTTAATTAGTGGCACTGTTTTGGGAAGTTATGGAACCTTTAGGAGGTATGATATATTGTTTCTTTCCTATTCTTGTGTTTAAAAACAAAAAACACCATGACCAAGACAACTTATAGAGGAGTTTATTTGAACTTGTGGTTCTTGAGCGTTGGTGTCCACTATGGCAGAGCAAAGGCATGGCAGCAGGAGCAGGAAGCTGAGGGCTCAAGGTTTTAACTGGAAACATGAAACAGAAAGCAAGCTTGAAATGATGGCAGTCTTTAAACTTTCAAAGCTTGCCTCCAGTGACATATTTCCTTCAGCAGGGCCACACCTCTTAAGCCTTCCCAAACACCACCCATCAACTGAGGACCAAATCTTCAAATGGCCAAGATTCTTGGGGACAACTCACTCATTCCTGGGGGTGGAGACCTCAGCTTGTTTGCTTGCTTGCTTGCTTTATTTATATATTTATTTGAGACAGGGATTTGCTAAGTGGTCCTCATTGGCCTTGAACCCAAGATCCTCCTGACTCAGCCTCCAGATTGATTGGGTTACAGGTAATCCATCTGTCTGTCTGGGACTTTACTTTAGTAGACTCTATGCTATAGCTACCCCCCGGGGCCACTGAGGGTTGAGACTGATAGGGTTATAGCAATAGAGCAACAATTGCTATGCCCCATGCTAACTAAGCATTTGATGTTTACTTCAGATGAATTGCAAATTCTATTGGAAAAAATCCTATCCTCACTTTCCATTTGAGTTAACAGAACACACAGAGGTTTAGAACTCTCTTCAGGCCATCCACCTAGGAAAGAGTTAGAATTCAAACCCAGCCTGCTTGATTTCAAAGCCCGCCCACCTCTTCAGGTTGCTATACTGTTCTAGTTGAAGATACAAGGAAAGGACAGTAGAAAAAGAAAGTGTTTGCCTTGTTTGGCAATTTACCCACTCAATAGAAACTCACTAAGGGCTTAGCTTTGTGCTTAGAGTTAGAAGCCATTCAGCCACTTACCAGCTCTTTATTGAGCCTTACTGATCATCAGGCCCTGTTCCACCTAGAACAGGGAAAGCAGCTGTGAGCAAAACCAAGCTCACCTGGGACTTACATTGATGTACAATAATTAAACATGCCCCCTCCCCCCCACCTCAGGAGGCACAAATATTATGGGACAGGACTTGGGATTGGACAGAAGTTTAGAAGCAGAGTAGAATCTTTTGGAAATATCTCACATTGGAAAAATGTCTTCCTACAGCTGACAGGAAACACACTGGTTATTTAGTAATGTTCACTTTTAAATACCAAAGATGTACATATTCAGTTTATACTTTAGAGAGGTTAATAAGTACCAGACAACATGCTTGCCACCTTGGAATAGGAAAGATGAATGGGACATCATAGGTGGCTTCTCTGGTGCCTCCTGTATGTAGTTCGGATGGATGTCAAATATTCACAGCTGTAACTGTAGCTCAGTGGTAGATTGCTTGCCTGATGTTTGAGAGGCCCCAAGTTCTATCCCCATCTTCACAAGGCAGAGACATAGTGGCAGAGAGGCAGTGGGTAGGGAGGTAGAATGTACAATTATGTAATTGCATCTGATCTCTTCTCCATGAATCCATTAAAGTCGGTTCTGGAAAGGATTGTTATGAGATGATACAGGTGGATAAACAAAGGCTCCTAGCCAGGTGGTGGTGACACTTTAATCTCAGCCCTCAGGACTAAAGGAGGATCTCTGAGTTTGAGGTCAATGTGGTCTACAGAGTGAGTTCCAGGATAGCCAGGGCTACACGGAAAAACACTGTTTCAAAAAACTAAAACAACAGCAACAATCTCCCCCCCCCAAAAAAAAATGATTTCTAGAAGTGAGATGTTCCTTTTAAGGTCACTGATATCAACTAGAAATGTTGGGACACTTATTCATATGGCCTCACCCCCAGACCTTCCACCCTACCCTATAGCTAGACACTTAAGATTATTGAATAGATAAAACAAAACAAACACCCTGATATCCTTTAGGTGCCCTGATATCCTTTTGGTACCTATAGATTAAACTATATAACTTAGGTCCCTCTAGGCCCAGGGACACCCTGGGACAACCCCTCATACTCTCTTGGTCACTCTAGATCTGGTCTGGAGTTTCCCTGAGTTGGTGGGATCTGTCCTGGGTGTATTTCCAATTCCTCAGGCCACCTTGCCCAAGGTGACTGCTGTCTTCTGAGAACTGTGCATCCCTAACAAGTCCTTTCCTGCTGGAGGAGTACCCCCCTCCTGCCTAGACACTTGGCTCTGCTTTACCTTCCTCTCACCCTCCACAGCATTCACTGTAGGCTGTGCTTTCTGCATTTTGTAAAGATATGACACCTTATAGTTAACATTAATTGTAGCTGTATTCAGCCCTGTCTATTTTCCTAG